GTAAACATTTAGAATGTAGTGAACTAGGTAAGATAGAATGGCCTGTATGAGAGATAGAAAGGTGCTCACCACTGCCTACTTGAAGTTGAGCATCACCTGCATAAGCCTTACTGATTTGTAGCTGTCCCAGATCAGAAGTAACATGATCAGTAGCTCCAAAGTCCATATACCACGCTGGATCAATGGAAGAGAAGGCTGTAGCACTATCAACCACATGAGAAGGTGGACAGTAATGATTCCCAGATTGTCCACAATTTCCACCAACATCAGTATGAAATCCAGCCCTTGGTCCAGTAGAAACAAAATAGGCTTGACTATAGCCAGAGTTCTGCTAACTAGGTACTCCAAAACAGCCAACACCTGAAGCAGTAGCAAATGTATTACTTGACTGTCCAATGGTGGAAGAAGGATTGAAATGTCCTGAACCACTGTTTGGGACTGATGACGAGTGGTCATTATGCAGTTGATTAGCAGCAGAAAAAACATTGTTTTGAGCATGCTGAGGATGCTCAGCAGGCTGAGAATAAATGGAGCTCTGATAATGCTGAGATGCCATATTTTGGTAGCCTGGATGAGTAAAACCAGAGTACTGCTGTTAAGGCACATGAACAGAGTGTTGCTGCTGTGAGCTACCACTGTAAGTTGCATTAAACCGATGGTAACACTGAACAGCAGAGTGTCCAGCCTTATTATAGACTTGACAAATGAGTCTGTTTCTTCCATTACCATGACCTCTGCCTCTTCCATAAACAGGAGGTCTAGTCCAGTTTTGAGTCAGTCCATTACCAACAAAAGGCATAAAATTTTGAGGCTGAGAGGATGTAAAGACTGGTGGAGTGATATAAGTCTGTGGATGAGGATTTCCCAGAGACATTAGGGATGGTACAACATTCTCAAAGTTTGTAGCTGTGTTATAACCAGTCTGCTCTTTTGTTCCAGAAATGCCAGGTACATTAGGATGACTAGCTAAGGCTACATTAACAGATCTATTGTAGAGATCAACTAAGTTAAATTTTTCTAATCTCAGCTCATATTTCTGAAGTAAAAATTGTGTCTCTTGAAGTGTAACATTATCAACTTTGGACTCTACTGGAAGTGAGAGTCATAACAGCAGCATCATACTCGGGTCCTAACCCATCTAATACGTATTGAAGCAAGTCCTCATCAGATATCTCTTTCATCTTTTTAACGTAATCACTAATACTGAGATTACACTTTTGAGTAGTTTGAAGTAAATTTCTAAGATGAAGAGCTCGAGCCTTGGAATCTGTTACAAATTCGTTTTCTAAGGTTAACCAAATTTCAGTAGCTAATCTACATTTTGAAACAACACAAAACATGCTTTCCGAAATTGATGCAAGTAGCTAGCTAACTAAACATTTATCAACTCTTTTCCACAAAACATAAGCCGGATTAAGTTGTTCACTAACCTCAGATTCATCGATTAGAACTGGTGAGGGACAACGAGCTCTACCTAAGAGGTGGTCTTCCAATTCATGAGAGCCGACAGCAGATAACACTTAGGAGCTCCAAAATCGGTAATTATTTCATGTCAGCTTAGGGTTTATAACTTGCAAACTCGAATTGAGAGCTAAAGTCGATCGATTTGAAGAATCTTGCAACACTTCTCGATTGCTGTTAAGCATGTGAGAAGCAGAGGAATCCTTAGCCATTGGCGCGAGTCTTAGCTCTGATACCATGTGAACTTATACAGAGAAAATTTGAAACGAGTTAAAGAAAGTCTGAAATGAATTTAAGAGAGAGAATGAAACTGTCTTTGTTACTGGAATTTTTCTCGTTACAGATAATGAGGAACAACAACAACTGTTCCTTTTATATAGCACTCATACAGAGTAAAGAGTAAAGTAAGGAGCTGAAACTTTCTACTTAAAACGACACCACTTTGACCTATTATCAAAATCATCCAAAGACTTAACAACTTGGCACTTTCATCCTCTTATATCAACAATTATAACTTACACCAAAATAAAAAGGAAAAGCATAAAGAATGTAACTTGTTGATGCCACTCGCCAAGAAAAAATACTTGATGTCGACACAATGACATGAACACACAAGGCCCACATCAAAGAAAGGAAAAAAGAAGGTCCTCGGATAAGGCCTTAGACCAAGGATTTGCATAAACTCCAAGATTTGATTCCATGGGCCTAGTCCATTTTTTTCCCTAAGAGTAGTGTTATTCGAGAACTCTTTTTAAGCCCCATATTAAATAATATTAATTAAATATAATTTATTTATATTCCAAAAACACCCTCATCTTCTTCTCATCTAATCTTTAAAAGAATTCTAATTAATATTGAATTTTTTTTTTTTTTTTGTTTGGTTTAGAATAGGGTTTTGTTTATAATTGTATTAAACTTTCTTTGAATTGAATGTTATTTGAAATTCTTCAGACATTATGTCTAATGCTAAGTTATTTAGAAATTCAGATATTTTTATGAAGATTAAGATGAGGGAAAGAAGATAAGACTAATATTGGAATAAAATATATATTTAAATTTATATAACGAATTTAACTTATGATGGGGCTTAATAAGTGTTTTGATGGGGCTCAAATAAACACTCCCAAATCACTTATTTCAATTAAAGTGGATCTATTAACACCCTACTAATGACCTAAAGAAACCTCACTTTTTACTAAATTTTATAATGACAAATTGATCCTTGTATTAAATTACTAGAATTAACTTTGATTTTCTATTTTGTGCAAATACTTTTGACACCCTACTATTAGCTCACAAACCTTAATCTTTTTTATGTTAATTTAATTGTAAAATTTAGAATAAGGTGTCTTAAAAAATGAGGCTTATTTAACTTGTAAGTTGGTTGCTTTCTCTGTTTAGTAATTATGTAAATTCCTTAAGTATTCTTTGATTATATGTTTAAGGTAGAAGACAATAGTCTATAACGAAAGATACAGAGGAGGAAGAGTGAACTCTATTAGATCTTAGAAATGAATAAATAGATTGAATTAGTCTAGTACCCCACTTCATTCTAATGGCCTATTTAGATTTTTACAAAATAAATTAAGTGTTAAACTGTTAATAACTTGGGTTGAGCCAACTAAACAGTCTAAACTATGTATGCAATTTGAATTCTCATTGTTGCTACATCAAAATGTTATTAATACATGGAAAAGAAAATAACGTCCAATTAGGGCCTAATATGGGTTAATTTAAAATGATTTTTCTCATGCTTTTTTATAATTTTTTTGCATACAGTTTAGAATTGAGTAATTCAATTAATATGGTAGAAGAAAATGATGTCTTCTTATGGTCTAATTTGGATTAACTTAAATCATTCAATTAGCACGAAAATGATGTCTAATTAATGGCTAATTTAAATTAATTAAAACATTGAAGCATCAATTTGGTGTAGTAAAGTGGCGAGCATTCTCGCTTGTCATGCGGCTGACCCGAATTCGACCCATTGGCAATGGTGAAATTGTTTTATTTTTTATTCTATAATAATTAGCCAATTCAATTTAATCTATTTTTTTCTCTAATAATTAGCCAACCAATTATCTGTTATTTAATTACAAAAATATTTTTCTCTGATTAAAAAATAAAAAAATTGGCCAATAGAACTAATTATATTTGCATCGTCCTCAATCTTTTGATTATTTTCTGTTTAATAAAATAGGAGCCAATATTACTTAAAATCATTATTAATTTGTATGTTTACCTGAATTATTGAAACCTTGAATCTTTTGTATAAACTCTGAACAGACCAGAAGAGTAAAAGCTGCTGTAGTGTGATTTTCAAGTAAAGAAAGTTAATGAAAAGATTAATTAAATCTTTTTTTCAGAATTTAGATGAACAATAATAACTATTATTATTCGAAATTTCTATGCTAGCTATTTACTTTATTAGTTCTTAAACATCATATTTGTAACCTATCAGGTAATATTTAGTGATTTCTCAATCGTAATTGATTTATTATCTTTTATGATATAATCATGTGATTTATCATATCAATTGAATATTTATATATTTGTAACATCTGAGCTAAGTAACCCCAAAGATGACAATGAGTTCTTCCCTAATTTAGTTTCACATTAGCCCAATGAGCCCAAAATGGCTTCATGCAAGCCCAAAAAACTCATTCTAAACTAGATGATTCTAAATCAGGCTTATCTGACCCTAAGTGAACACCAATGAGCCACAAGGACTCAATTAGGTTCATCCAAGTGAACCGAAAGAAGAATATGAGCCCAATATAGGCTCATCCAATTCATATAATCATCTTACTCTTCCTTAAAATCAAGTATTATCTTCATTAAATTGAGGTAAAACGAGGCTAAGTTGTTTACAAAATTACTATTTATATTGATGATTTCATACATGAATTCAATCCTCTATAATGCAAACTTCTTTATATGAATAGGGTTGTTGTAAACTACAATTCCACAAAAGATTTCATCCCAAAATTAATGTCTTCCCACCAAAATTTCTACCCACATTGAAGCAACTAGCTTATCTGTAGATAAATTTTACAAAAGATTTCATCCCAAAAAGTTTCTAAGTTGACCTAAGATTTTAGGTTAATCTCTTAATGAAAATGTTAGCTTATTTTCAAAAAGTTTATTTTAATCGATTCGTTATTAATATACTGTTTGTTAGAGTCTTATGTTTGAATAAATCTTTATTAATTTCCTGAAATTTACATTATTTTCAAGGTTATGGTTTCCCTTGATTTAAAGAGAAGACAAGTCATGGTTCTGCAATATTTTTGTAAACACAAAAGTCAAGGTCGATCGATGTTGATAGAACTGTTAAAGTTTCCAAGTCAAGGTCAATGGCTGTCGATAGAAAGAAGAGTTTTATATGGGTGTTGTTGAGCTCTTCTTACGTGGGCTTGGATGGTGATCAGTGGCCTGGCCTGATGAGGGTGTTAGTGGGCTTTTCTTGGGTGGGATTGTAGGACGGGGATGTTGCATTTAGACAAAATTATTGTTTGATGATTGATGAATAAAGTTTATAAAAAAAATTTACTGAGTTTCCTGTATTTGAGATTCACCAAATAAATTTTCAATCAAAGCACGTAAATAACTTTTCATTCATTCTGCATGTAATCAAAAGAAAATTTTGAAATCAATTCCCTTATACACCTCAATACAATAACCTTCTTTCGGTTTCCACTCTAGAATGCGCTATTCTCCACCTCTAGCTCCGAACAAGTTGACGGTTACCTCTTCGCTGAAGGTGTGTTAATCATCTCAATTTACTTATATCTACTTCAATATCACATGTATAGCTTTGATTTGTTGTGTATAATGCTTGGGTGCTTGATTTAATTAAAATTCTTGTCTGTATGTTGATGTATTGTATTTTGTTGTGTTGATTAGTTATATGGGTTCATGATTTATTGGGTTTGTTAATTTGCTTGTAAATGGTTATCATGTATTTGACAAAATTCCTCAATGAGAAACACACCCATACACCGTGTAACATTCCCACAATTTTTAACCAGTACACTCAATGAGTAACTTTTCTGCCGGACAATCTTACAAACAAAAGGTAGGATCCTCGCAGCCTATTGAAACAACTTCCTTTAAGCGCAAGCGAGGAGTCTTTCAAAGAGGTAACTGTCTTTCAACTTATTTTTTTCCTCATCCAGAGGATTGGGACACTGAATTGTGTTGTTGAGCAATCCCAAATTTAATGATTTGGCCATTATGCATGAAACTTTATATGCTAATTGATGAACCTGTCATCTACTAATTTTATTTTTTATTCATGTGGATATCTCCAATCCATAACTTTTATATGTAAGCTCTATTAGCAGCTCCTACCTATGTTATCTACTAATACATCGACAGATTTTTTTTTTTTTCCTTCTCTTAGAATGACTTTTCTTCTTCTTCATTCCATAAAATTACCAGTTGCTTTGATTGCTATGGTTACTTGTTCATTCGGGTTACTTCTTGTCATTCGGTTGACTCTAGCACAAGTGCAACAAAAGCTTGGAATATGAACCCAATTTGTAACTTGTTATGCGATCTCCTGACTTTGAATTAATGCCAGTGGTGTTGGGCGTCGGCCTTGAAGGTTTAGTGGTGGATGTTGTTGGGCTCTTCTTAATAGAAAAAAAATTCCCGATATAAAAATAAGATTCATGGAATATTTAATTATTTTATAAAATAAAGGAAAAGAAAAAAACACATGGCTGATGGCTTATCAAACTCCAATGCTTGTCAGCAGGCATTCCTAGCAGACAAGTTTTCAATTTTTAATTTTTTTTTTTAAATATATAAATGATTAGTTTTAATCAAATAAGTATTTGTATAAAATAATAGAGGTATTTTGATAATTAATAAGTATTTAATAGATTTTAGCTTAAGAAATAAGTGATTAAGAGAGAAGCTGCACTACTTCCAAACTAAGCTCGATTTTTTTTTTTTTTTTTTAATCGTCAACATGCTTTTATGATTTTGATAAAAGTTTTATTGAAAAGCACAATGTAATTAAAGTTAGAGTAAACAACATGTTCCCACCCGAGGTTTAACGACATTCAGAAGTAATACCACTGGTTTCATTTATTCCAGATTGCTACCATTAAACTAACAGTGTTAGTCACTGTTGGATTCAGAAGAGGGCAATTACCAAACTACCCTCCCATCTTCGTCTTCTTCTTCATCTCCCCCTTCTTCTCTTCTGCCGCTTCTCTCTCCCTCCCACAGCCACAACACAACCACAACCACGCTCCTCTCTCCCTCCCGAAACCCCAAAGTCACCACCACCCACCGCCATTCCACCCATCTACTGCCATTACAATCCCTCACCACCACCCGATCTTTGTCTTCTTCTTCTTCTCCCCCTTCTTCTCTTCTGCCGCTTCTCTCTCCCTCCTACAGCCACAGCCGTAGCCGTAGCCATAACCACGCTCCTCTCTGCCTCCCGAAACCCCAAAGTCACCACCACCACCACCATTCCACCTATCTACCGCCATTGCAATCCCTCACCACCACCCGATTTCGGTCCCATTTGGCTCAATCTCGGCTTTGTTGGCCGTCCTCATCATCACCACAAACACCACCACCCTTCCACCTCCAAAACCTCCATTTTCCCCGATAGTGGTAGAGGGGAAGCAGTTGGTGGAGAGAAGAGAAGAAGAAAGAGAGAAGAAAAAGAGGAGAAGAAAAAGAAGAAGAGGAAGAATCTGCTGGAGAGAAGAGAAGAAGAAAGAGAGAAGAAAAAAGGAGAAGAAGAAAAAGAGAAAGAATCTGGAAGAGAGGAGAAGAAGAAAAAGAAAAAGAAAAGGAAAAGAGGAGAAGAAGAAGGAAAGCAGTCAACGATGGTGTGTTGAGAGAAATGGGTTTTGACACTTTTACCCTTAACCTTTTAAAATAAAACAAACAGTGTTAGATTAAGGGTAGGTATCTAGAATAAATCAAACCAATGGTATTAACCTTGGATTTCGGTAAACCTTAGGTGGGAACATGTCGTTTGCTCTTAAAGTTATTGTCATGTAACAAGATAATATTAGTGACTCTAGGGAAATACTTTTATTCTATTTATTTTACTAATTTGTGGGACCTTTTATAATAACCTTTAATTTCTAAAAGCCAATTTCTTTTTTCCTGTTGTGAATTTTAAATAAGTAATATTATAATTACAAAATCTTCTAACAAAGAGTTAAGTTGAATATAAAGTGATGTGACATTATCTTTTAAATGACACATCAATTAATTAATTGTTTTTGTATATTCACTTACTAATTATATTTTATCACATCATTTTATGTAGTATTATTCATTTTAAATGATCGAGGTAGCACAACTCTTATTATGGAATCATAAAATCCAAAGTTATTCTTCCTTCTCTTGCAAGTTAGTATGGCATCAAACATGTTCTCTTTAATTAATTTCTAAGAAATTTCCTTGCAATTCATCTGTAATTCCGGCAAAATTAATTTGTTGACGAAGTTGTTGAATTCTCATATTAACTTGACCAAGACTTGCATATTATGGTCCACCATTACTTTAGTTTGATTTTGATATTTATCAATCATTCTTGATATTATAAAATTAATTATGGGTCTAATTTATTACCAATTTGAATTGTTTGATTATGTGGGGTATTGAAGTAACTAGCTAACATGGTATCTTTCTATGAAATTTTGTGACACTTTGTTAATAACTTCAGTCAAATTGGTAATTGCTTTCACTTGTAATAAGTCGAATTCAGTTATAAATCAGACATTTCATTTAGACTATTATTGCAATGGCGAACCCAAATAATTAAATCGATTTGTGTTTTTATATGACTTTATGGAAAAGAGAAGATAATTTATGAGAAGATGAGTCCTCTTTTGTTTAATCATCTTTTATGGTGGGGTGCATCACCTCGGAAAATAAACCAGGATAATGTTTTGTAGGGGTGCCACCATTTCCATCATCTTTATTCTTCTCTCACTCTCTTTCATTCCAAGACTATTTTTACCTAACATTTATGAACAAGTGTTTGCCACTGGTCCTTAATGGAAAAATTTTAAGGGAGAATTTTAATCAAGTGGGTGACGCAATTGTTTTAAATTTCAATCATTGACTCCGTTTAATATTTGCCAAGTGGAGAAGCTTAAAATCTTCATTTTATTGTGGAAGCCCTAATATGAAAAGGAAGAATCTTTTTCATATTGAGCTAACATTGATGAAAAGATCAATTATATGGAACTTGAAGATCATATATAGGTGAAATTAAATAAATAAGGCACTATAACAATCTCACACATAGAAAGACACCCAACTTACGTGATTCGGTAAATCTTGACTGCATCCACGAGATGTGAGCCAAATACTAAAATAAAGCATGATATTAGTGATGGGTGGTAAATGAACCAAGTTGAGCCGAGCTTTGGACTAATCGAGCTCAGCTTGGTTGCTACAGTGTCGAGCGTCTCGGCTCGGCTAACACACCCCTAGATGGTTAAAGTCTAATAAATTTACAATAGACCCATACCCATTGTTAGAGATATATATACTTCTTTTTTATTATTAGAGATAAGCTTCAAATTAAACCATCTTCCATTGATATCCATTTTCAGAATATAATTGTTATCAATATTCAACATTACTCAATAATATTCCATTTACTTATTGCTCATTTGTCATCCATGACCATGAATATATTACTAACAAGATAAAGAAAACTTGTTCATATGTGAATTCCCCTGTTTATATATATAAGTTCATTAAGCAATTTTATATTTTGTGTATTAGATATTCAAAACAAAATCAAAGTTTTATTTTATTTAATACAGATCTTTTCACTATTGTTCAAGCTTTAGCTAATTGCACTTTTTCCTAGTAAATGTTCTTTGCCTTTTGTTTTGGTATTTCCCAATATGAAGTGCTCTAAGAATATTTCGTGCAATAGTAAGATTATTATTTAGAATCAAATAAGGTTCAGCCGATCATTTCTGGTATGCCACAACTAACGTTGCTACTTGCTAGTAGCCTTCATGTAAGCACAATTGATAGATTGTCTAGTGATTTACCTTATGGTATTGATAATGTTGCTAAGACATCATTGAAGACTGTACTCAACCACGTCTAATGGTTATCGATGACAAGTTTTCAATTTTTCTAAATTTTTTTAGATAAATGATTAATTTTAATTAAATAAGTATTTGTATGAAATAATGAAGATATTTTGATAATTAATAAATAATTTATAAATTTTAGCTTAAGAAATAAGTAATTAAGAGAGAAGCTACAACAATTTCGAACTAAGCTCAATATTTTTTTTCATCATCAACATGCTTCTTAGATTTCAATAAAAGTTTTATTAAAAAACACAATTTAATTTATGTTATAAATTTTAGCTTAAGAAATAAGTAATTAAGAGAGACGCTACAACAATTCCAAACTAAGCTCAATATTTTTTTCATCATCAACATGCTTCTTAGATTTCAATAAAAGTTTTATTAAAAAGCACAATTTAATTTATGTTATTGTCATGTAACAAGACAATGTACTCACTCCGTAACATGACAATGTACACTGTAGTGAGTGATATGATAACAATGGCGCTTATTATTTTTATCCCTATTTCCAATCCTATTCTCCAAATAATGTTTGGTATATTATTCCAGAAATATTACTCTATTTTTTTTAATTACTTTTAGACTCCATAAGGTTATTAATTTCATCAAATATGCCCTGAAAAAAAAGTTTAAAAATTATCAAAAACACCCCCGCGACCCATACTTGCCAGATTCCGGCAACCATCGTCGGTGGTAGCCGGAATCTGTACAACGGCCTACCTAACGACCATAAATGGCCGGAAGTTCACCGATCTTGGCCATCATTGACCGAAAACGATGGCCATATGACCGTCATTTTGGCCTTTTTCGGCTGTCGACGGCCACGGTAGACATTAGATCTGGCCTTTTCCGGTCAGATACGTGGTGGATCTGGTCGAAAAAGGCTATAACGACGTGTTACGACACAGATCCAATCGGTCTGTGTCGTAACGCGATTTTTCGGCCAGATTCCAGCGGTGGTGGCCGGAATCTGGCACTGCGGGTGGTGGGGGGTATTTTTATCATTTTACATATTCGAGGTATTTATTAAATTAGCAAACTTAGGGGGTTTTTTTATAAATTTTTAAATTTTACCTCGTAATACTCTCATATTCAATTATCCAATACTATCCCAAAAATCCTATCCAAAATAATAAACCAAATGCATCCTAAAATCTCCTGAATTTAGTAGTATATTTTGGAAAGCAAGAGAATGACTTGCATTATATCTCAGAAGGTTTTAACAGCGCAGTAAACATTTATGGTAATTTTGCTATTTTTCAAGAGTTTTAGATAAAAATTCAAT